AATTGGTTTCAACTTCAAATTGTTTTTTAAACATCATGGCTTATTCAACTTGAAATGATTTGCAATATTAAAAAAAGAGTGACATACATTGTTATTGGAAATTGAAATGTCAAATATCACAATCACAATGACTTTGAAAGAATTTAGGATGGGAAAAGAATTACTGGATTAGATAATAAGACACTTGGACTGGACCACATTAAAATATTGAATCTAATCGATTACTTAGTTCAACTCAAGAGCTTATATACCGGATTATTTTCTCTTCAAGTTCTGATGAAGGATACTCTTTAACAGACTTATAGGTAAATTCTATCATGGATTTAATTTCCTCTTTGAAAAAAGACATGCTTTAAAAATGTACTTTCTTCATCCCTGAAAACTCTTCATGTTTTGACTTTCTTTGGTCAAGCTCTTTGACCGCAAAATAAACATAACTTAAATAAATAAATATTATAAAAATTTGATATATTAAATTTGCATTACTCCATATAATTTAATATATTTTTTTCACAATTTATAATAGGATGATCCGACCCATTTTTTCTCCTCTTTTTTCTAAGGTACACAAAGTTAAAGAGGGGTGATCTTGACCACCAACCAGCTAGCTCAATAACATCTCGGATTCGGCCACATGAATTGAAGATATACATAATCCAATGGAATATGAAGATATAAAGAATCGTCGGGGGATTGATTATATTGGGATTTATTTTTCTTTAATTTGTACCTACAAACTAACTTTAGCTTATGTCAGAATCCCTCCCGCCAGGTACGTGGTGTGGTGTATCAATATATATAAAGCTGGTATGATCAACTTTATATCAATTCCCATTATATGATTAATTAATAATTACTACTGATTAATTAATCAGACAAGAAACACATGGACGGCCCTGCTCATATTCTAATCTTGCACATTTGCATTCCATGTATGGATTTCCTGATTTCTATGATGATTCCATTAGCATCGGACCCTCAGGCCCGTTTGGTATACGGAATTCAAACTATGGAATTGGAATTGAGGACTTCAATTTCAATTCTAGTGTTTGGTAGCACAAAAATTATGTGGATTTAGAATTGATAGTGCAAAAATGAATTGGAATTTACAGAATTTAATTCTATGGAATTGAATTCTGTGGAATTTTAATTCCAATTCAATTCTAATTCCGTCAATTCCGTATACCAAACGGACCCTCAAGGAATGATTTGTATTTTAAAATCTCAAAGAAATTATGGAGTTTTAAAATATTCATAGGGTGTTTGTCATTGTGTTAGGTTGTTCTTTAGAATCTAGCTTCTACTTCAAGTGGTAATCATTTTATCTTGTTTGGCATAACAACTTCTGTTTTTCTTTATTATCATTTTATACATAGAACACCATTTTGAAAAAGAAGATATATGGCACTTCTGTTTTCAACTTTTGTAAAAATCACTTTACATACAAGTTAATCAATTTCAAACATCCTCTAATTATGGTTGCAACTCCTTCTATCACTACATCAAGGAGATACAAAGGGGCCTATTTTTCAAACTATAGGGGGCACCCATGCTCATTTGTTATTTTTCATTTATTTATTGTTTCCCCCCTTTTTCCTTTAGTTGTTTAAAATTATTTTTTTTTAAAAAAAAACACATGCTGCATCCGTACGTCTCAAATTAATAATTTTTATTTTTTGTTTTCCAAAATTGAAAAAAAAACTTCTTTGACATCTCAGTTCTATAGACTTTTTTAGGCATTTTGAATTTTTTTTGTATAAGATTCTTTTTGGCATGTTTAAATTTTTTTTCATTTCGTTTTTCCATACTCTTATTTGTAATTTCTTTATTCTGGATTTTCTTTTTGAACCTACTAAAAAAATTATTCTAGAAAATAAAGAGTGAAAATGTTCAATTTGAGATAGATGGAGTATATGCTAATTTGTTTTTTTTCATTTCAAACATAAAGAATTTTGAATTTTTTAAAAATATTATAAAAAATTGAAAAGAATTTCAAAAAAATTTTATTGGGAAAGAAAACAAAGAGATAAAAAAGAGATAAAAAGAAGAAAAAATCCAAAATAAAAAATGAGCACGAGGGCCCTGTGTAGTTTAGGAAATAGACACTAATGTCTCTCTTTGTCGGAAAATGATCAGAAAATAATCAAAAGAGTGTGAGCGCAACATTTTGAAATTACGAAAAATTTGTAAATAAGTTTTTAAAACAAAGAGGGTATTAGATTAAAAAAGTATTTGAGATTTATTATAATTCTTGTTGTTGTTGTTGTTTGTATTATTATTATCAAAGAGATATTTATGCATTATTTTGAAGTAACTTTTTCAAATTGTAGTGTTAGACAATAATAATAATAATAATAGTATTACTTGGTATTAGTTATGATAGTTGTTGACTATTAGTCAGTTTCTTATTCCTATTTATGGTAGATGTTGTATTTTCGTTAGTTTTTGTTCTCTAATTTTAGTTGTGTTAGAAGTTCCCCATATTTATACTCTATTATGTACTTTATAACTTAAGAAGTAATATTATTATTCCAACATTCAAACAGTTAGCATTTTAGTAATTTTTTACCGTAATATTCAGACTGTTTTTTAAAACTTTAAAAATAAAAAGTTACCAATAATATTTGAGTTCCAGTTTTTTATACTGACACTTCAAATAGAATCATTCACCGTCTCACATAAGTTGTACGGAGTACTCAATCCATTTGGTAAAACAGTGATTTTGACTTCTTCCAATTTTTTAAAAACTAACTCTCCAGTTACTCCGTATATCTTTGACATCCAAGAAAGAGATAACTTATTTAAATAACTATTTATATCAATGCAAAATGAATGAAATATATTCCAACGATTTTATTTGAATATATTAGACATTTTTACTTCAAATGAAAGTATTTTGTTAGAAAAAACGAAAGAAGAACTCTTGTGAAAAATAGAGGGAGGAATATTGAAAATAGAATGTAAAATACGGAGTAATTATTTTCCCATTAAACAAAGGAGCATTTAATTACTTAAGTTGTACAGAAGGGTATGGAATGATCCTGGATTGAAATGTCTTTTTCTCCATCTTGTTGTGGGGTCACATGCATCCTCAATTATTCAATCATTAGTTCATATCTCACGTTAAAATACTTCAATACTCCATTAGTCTAAAAATTATCTTTTCATTCTACGTCAAGATGTTTGACTGAAATTATTTCCAAATAATTTATATGAAAATATTATAGAATTTAAAAATAAAAAGGGCAGTGATACGTTCACAAACAGAAGGATCACAAACTTCACAAACTTACTATTTATGGTTCAAATTCTCATTTTAAAATTATTTTAAACTATTTAATTTTCTTTATTGAAGTTCACAAATGTTAAGTTTGTGAAGTTTGTGAAGTTTGAGTTTGTGAACCACGCATTTCCCATTTGAATACTATTTGAAGTTATTGATAGCTTTTATTCATATATGCATTTTCATTTATTATTTGATAAAATAAAATAATTATGTTGTGTTTGTTTTTGTTTATTTTTTATGTACTTTTTAGATACGTAAGTTGTACATTTTATTATTATACCAATTTGTAAGTATAACCAATTTAAAAGAGATCAAATTTTGTACATTGTTTAAAAGAGAACATTAATTTAGGATGGGATAGTTTTTATTGTGTTTAGGCTTAGAAATATTTTTCACTTCTACCTTTTATATTTAAAGATAGGAAATTGTCTTACAAGAGTATTACTAATAATGTGTTGATTAGAATTCTTGAATGCCATGTTGCCAATACAATTGTCATAATTTTCAATTAGAGCAAATTAAGTCTTTTTTTATTTAGTTTTTTATATTTTCCATTGTATTGAAAACATTTACTTTTATATTCATTGAGCTTCAATTTTAATTAAAAATTATTTAAAGTTCTAATAACTTTTGTAAGAGCTCAACTTTTTTGCGCCCCGGGCCCAAAAATCTTAGGAACACGCCTGCAAACAAATAGTCTTGTTTGGGCTTTACAAAAAAAAAAATCATTAGTGACAAAATAATACAAAGTATTCTGTATTTTAGTTATTTTATTAAAAAAATATGTAACTAGAAATACTTTTCTCTTTATCGAGTAAAATTTAAGTCACTCACATTTCACTATTTAATATGTAGTACGGAGTATCTTTTTTGTACTTTTTATATTTGTGAAATTAAAAAATGACGATTTAAAATTGAAGGAGATCACATACGTGTAACATGATAATTTTTCTTGACACGGCCAAGGACATTATAGGAATCCTCAACTAAAAAAGGCAAAGGATGATTAAGCATATATAATTGATGATTATAATTAACTCTTGATGAAGAAGATTGAATACCAGATTACTGTTCCTAATATGCATACATATGAGTTGTCTTAATTAGATAATTAGGCTTTGATCTCTTTTGTCTCCTCAATGGTCCCTAACAATTTATCACACAAGCCTTGATTTGATTGAATTATTGGAAATTACTTATTAGGATTGAAGCTTGGGAGTAATTAGTAGGATTCCAAAACCTCTCTAACTTTGGCTTTGTTTGGTAATAGTGTTTTTGATTAGCGTTAGCGTTTTGGATAATATTTTAATGGTGCAGATTAATTCTGAAAACGCTAACGCTAAAGGTTACCGTTGGATAGCTTTTTCAAAACGCTAAAGCTAATCTCTAACGCTGATGCCAAACGGGGCCTTTATGCTCTGTATATAATTTTTTTTAAAACACTAATAGTTCTATTATAATGGAATATATGTTCATATATTCTCAAGTTATTAAACCACATAAAGTTCCTGCCTCGTTAGGATTTGAATTTGTGACTTTGCATTCGGAGTAGACAATATGTTGTTACTGAAACACAAAGTCTTTAGCGTATATAATTTTTTTTAATATCATTAGCTTCTAAAAGCCTAATCTCTATAAAATCAAGTTTTTTTTATAAGAACATGAATTCTTTAGCTAGCCAAGTGAATTATTCTTATAACAATGATTATTATGGCAAATGTTACAACTTTCATTTATTTCAATTTAATTTTTTTTCTATATAAAACTCACCACACGATTAAAAATTACTAATTAATAGTTCCTCATCTTAAAATTTCACAAAAATTCAATCTTATTTCATACTTCAATTGATAGAACAAAATGCAATACATTCTGAGGGTGAGTTTTGCTAGAACACACCTTATATGGAAATTATGAAGCAGTCTAAAAATGATGCCAAATAAAACAGAAAAAGGACAGAAAATCACACATTAGAGAATTAATTTTGCAAGCTGATCAAAGAATACATGCCAAGAGTGGGAACTATTTGCATTTGCAATAAATATTTTGATGAAAGTTACAAAAAAACCTTTTAAAAAATTCCCTATGTACCAGGCAATTTCATCTCCTTCAACAATCTCTCAAGTGTACTGAATATTCTTTCATCTTGAAACTTTGAAGCAGAGGATCCGGCAAGGAACTCATAAACCTTCCCTTGCAAGCAAATCCAGCTGCGCCCCGGTTGCTTGCTTACTCCACTTTCTTTCATAGATGACCTCAGCATCCAAACATTGTTCCAGTGATGATGTACAGCAAATGCGTTCGACATCATCACATATCCAGCTGAGCTGTCTGGATCCACCTGGACAAGCTTACGCGAGATGTGGTTTGCAAGTTCCATTTTCCTGTGAACCAAACATCCACCTAGAAGAGCACCCCAGACAAAACTGTTTGGTTTGAAGGGCATTGAGGTTGCCACTTCAAGTGCTTCTTCAACGTGTCCCATGCGGGAGAGAAGGTCAATGTAGCAGGAGTAGTGTTCCATTTTAGGGGAAATGAAGAACCTTTGGCTCATTTCTTGGAACATCTGGCGGCCTTTCTTCAGAAGTCCTGAGTGACTGCAAGCACATAGTACACCGAGGAATGTTTGGGCATTGGGTTGCAACTTAAGCTCTAACATTTCTTCAAAAAGTGTCACCGCGGTGTTTCCTTCACCATTCACTGCCAGCCCCATGATCATAGCGTTATACGAGACTACATCTTTTGAAACCAGCTGGTCAAACACTTCCGTTGACTTCTCCACGCACCCACATTTGGAGTACATGTCTATCAATGCGGTTGCAAGGTTGCGATTCAAAAGCCCGTGGGCATCGCGTTCGTGTTGGTTTGCTTTAATGTGGGTGTGGAGAGAAATGCCGAGCTCCAAACAACCAAGTTGGGCACAAGCAGAGAGCAGGCTGACCAGAGTTACATGGTTTGGATTACATTTGTGGTGTTTTGTCATCAGCGAGAAAAGATCCAAAGCGTCCGAAGCAAATCCATTTTGGACAAGGGAAGTGATGATGGTGTTCCAAGAAACCACACTTGATTTCCCATCAGCTGAGACCTGGTCGAATATCTCCCTGCTCTTATCGACCTTTCCACATTTACCATATAAATAAACAAGAACTGTTTTCACAGAGTCACAAATTGAGTCATTCAAACCACAATGGTAAGCTGTATCTAACAGATTCCTGGCCCAATACTCAACCTGCACAAAATCAAGATTCGAACAAGCAGAGAGGACGCTAACCATGGTGTCATTTTTGGGGCTCAGATTATTCTTAACCATTGACAAGTATGTGGACAGAGCTTTCTCAGATTGGCCAGACTTGGCATATCCAGATATCAGACAAGTCCAGCAAGAAACACCAGTCCTCTCAGGCATTTCATCGAACAGCTTAGAAGCAGATTCCAAATCCTTCAGGGTTTTAGCATACACGCTCAACAAGCCATTGCAGACAAACGAATTCACTAAAAACCCAAACTTTAAAACATGGGTATGAATCTGCCGAACAAAGATCGGATCCCCAGCGCGGGTACACGCTTTAAGGAGAAAAGAAAATGTCAAGTCATTAGGCGATAGGCGCAGGAAGTTAAGTTTTTTGTACACCAAGAATGCATCAACATATAAACCCTCTTCAGAGAAGACCCGGGTGATGGCGTTGAAGGGGAAAAGATTGGGTTTTCGCAAATGATGAAAAACGCGGAGAGCGAGGTTGGGCGGGTACTGACCGATAAGGCGAGTGGCGACGAGGTTGTCTTGGTGTGCGCCGGCGAGGAAAACCCTAGCGTGGATTTGGAGAAGATGAACAGTGGGAATGCGGCCCTGTAGGAGACGGGTGAGGTCCGAAGTGAGTGACAGTGAGCGGATGAAATGATCGCCAAGTGACATGCGCTCTGGAGTTCGGAGATGATGACCCACCTGAGACGGGTCCTAGAGATTTTGCCGTTCAATTACTCACGTAAAACACTTATATCATAGTATTTGGCTGCTTGATTTGACTAAGTTCTTACTCCGTATAAAATTGATCTTTATTTGATTTTAATAAAAGCAAGTAGTAGTAATAAGTAAAAAAAAGGTTTAGAGAATGAGCTCTCAAGTCTCAACTTCCATCATAGAGAACATTTTATTTTGAAAAATCCTTGAAGGTTAAAGAAATACTAACCAAGTAGTTTGAATTTAGAATGCATTTGGATAAAAAAAATTTATTCATTAGAATGCCCATTTTTTATTGTTAGATCAGATTATGTGATTAGTCTTTATGTTACGGAGTACTCCATATGTTTTATTTTCACCAAACACATAATTTTAAAAATTTTATTCATTAGGCCCATATACGGGAGGCTGGTTAATGGTTAGCATATGACAAAGCTCTCCGCGCGGCCCAACTTGCAGCTTGATCTGATCATCCTTCCAGGCTGGCCGAAACCGAAGCTGCTATTGGTTCGATGACGTAAACCCACGCGTTTGATTTTCTCCCAGCGGCAGAATTAACTCTCCCGCGGCGACCCTTCTGCGTGCTTTCCCGGCCGACTGTCGGCGCATCCTCTGGGAACTAACCCACATATACATACCACATTCTTTAAAGTCTTTGAACAAATTCTTGGCTTCGAGATTTTCGAACGAAGTTCTTGAAATTGCGCAGAACGCAATAGGGAATGCGGAGAAATTTTTAGGGGGTTTTACAGTCTGAAGGTTTCCCAGATTTTTTTAAAGGGAGAATCGTACAGGCGGCGATGGTGGAAGAGAAGAAGAAAATGAAAAGGGAGAGGAGGAGATGGGCATGGGCGGCGATTGGAGCGGCGGCGGTGGCATTGGCCGTCGGGATTGTTTTGCACACCTTCAATTACAAGTCTTGTACGTGCTCTCAGGTTTACTCTTGTCCGATCTCGTCTGGAATTTCATGGAGTTTTCTTAATTTTGTGCTCCGCTTTTGGTTTCTTGATGTGTAGTCAATAAGTCAACTTTGAAGAAGAAGCCAAAAAATGAAACTATTTCTGAAATCAAATTTATCTTCGTTCTTTAAGGCTATAGTATAATCGCAGAATGGAAGAGAAACCATTAATAATTGATCTATATGGTGATATTACTTTGAAATGGTCTGATTCTCAATGAAAATTCACAGTAGCATTGTGCTCTTTGGAATATTACCCAGGAAGAAAGATCGGATTGAATTTACTAATGATAGATGACTTGTGTACTAAAACGCAGGATTCTAGAAAATATACCGGTATAATCGAAGATTGCTGCTGTGATTATGAAACAGTTGACAGTCTTAATGCAGCTGTCCTGCATCCTCTACTCCAAGAGCTTGTCACAACTCCATTCTTTCGGTATTTTAAGGTTTGAGGCAATTTTGCAGAACACATTTCCTTAATCTGAAACACTTTATTCTTCACCCCAATGTATGAAGTGCATGTTATGAACATGGCAGGTGAAACTGTGGTGTGACTGCCCTTTTTGGCCCGATGATGGTATGTGCAAGTTGCGCGATTGCAGTGTGTGCGAATGCCCTGAAAGTGAATTTCCAGAACCTTTTAAGAAGCACGCACTTCCATTTGATGATCTAAAATGTCAAGAGGGAAAGCCAGAAGCTGCTGTTGACCGCACTTTAGACTCCAAGGCTTTTAGGGGATGGATGGAAGTAGATAACCCTTGGACACAAGATGATGAGACTGACAATGGTAATTGATTGTTTTGCCCTTTCATCATACATAGTGGATATGCTGTTAATCTATTAGGGTGTTGTCTTTGGATCCTGGAAAATATCTAAGGAAAAGTGAAAAAATGCCAAAGAATGCCATTTTCTTATGTTTGGTTTTACCTAGGAAGATGAAAAGGAGAATCATATATGATTAGTGTTTTTAAAATTTGTATGGGTTTGAGTTTCTAGCCCTATAGTAGCACAGAAATAAATGAAGAAGATGAATTTGAGCAATTATCATCAACAAATGTATTTTTCGTTCCTTCCATATTTCCAGTACATTCTTTCTCTAGCATTTTCTTAGGTCCAAACGGACCCTTATTCTCTGCATACTTTTTATGTCAATTATCATAACCTAAGTACACGGCGGTAATGAAACTATTAGTATTTCCTAAGTTGTTACTGCATTTTAATTTTCAATCAAAATCTTGTTTATTTTAAACAACTATACACATAGACTAGTACTCCCAAATGATTCATTTTGTCACAGGTGAAATGACATATGTAAACCTATTATTGAACCCGGAGCGATACACGGGCTATACTGGACCCTCAGCCCGAAGGATATGGGATGCAATTTATTCAGATAATTGTGAATGTGAGTGTATAACCAACCGGTTGAGGTTTCAAGCAGTATATTTTATCCTGATCATTTGTTCTTCCAGTGAATGATCTATTCAATGCAGGTTTATTTTTCTTTTTTTGACAGATGCTCCTGGAGAGATATGCCAGGAGAAAAAAGTGCTCTACAAGCTAATATCTGGTCTCCATTCCTCTATTTCGACGCACATAGCTGCTGATTACCTACTTGATGAAACTAATAACCTGGTTGGTGGTGTTATAGTTTTATAGTTCCATCTCTTTATACATTTGTCATATATCTCTTCCAGTAATGATCGTTTCTAACTCAAGAAAAGTATGCATCTTTGCTCATATATACTGCTTACCTGTGATTCTAATGTTCATAAACATTTTCAGTGGGGTAAAAATCTGGATTTGATGAATGATCGTGTTCTGCAATATCCCGAACGTGTCAGAAACATGTATTTTACTTTCCTCTTTGTTCTCAGAGCTGTGACAAAAGTAAGTGCCCATAAATTGATTTGCAAACCACACTTGGTTATATTTCATGCTCACTTCTTGACATGGACACACAGGCAACTGATTACTTGGAGCAAGCCGAGTATGATACCGGAAACCCAGAGGAGGACTTGAAAACACAGTCTCTAATGCGTCAACTTGTTTACAACCAAAAGCTCCGATCAGCTTGCCCTGTTCCATTTGATGAAGCCAAACTGTGGAAAGGCCAGAGTGGCCCTGAGCTGAAGCAACAGATTCAAAAGCAATTCAGGAATATCAGGTTTTTAATTAAACGTGAACTCTTCCAAATAAGACTATGCTGCATTATTCATGACTTAGGCTCCGTTTGTTTCAAGGAAAATACTTTGATCGTGGAAATTTGTTTTCCTGGAAAATATGAGGTTTGACCCACTAAATCAGAGAACGTAGAACTGAATGCTTTCTGGTGGCCCAACACAGAAAAGCCAATAAAACATTTTTATGCCTCTCAAGAAAATAGTTTTCTGTAAACAAACAGATCCTCAATAACATATACAACCTGCGTACCCAAAAAGAGCAGAAGAAAAGAATCACGATTGTAATACTGAAATCAGTAATGCAAAAATGATTCTTTTTATGGGGACCTGGAGAGTGACTGTGTACTTAATGATATTAATGTGTACAAATCCATATTGCAGTGCTCTAATAGATTGTGTAGGATGCGAGAAATGCCGTCTCTGGGGTAAGCTTCAAGTTTTAGGCCTCGGAACTGCCCTAAAGATTCTCTTCTCCGTAGATGGTCAGAAGCACCCAACTCCACCTGTGAGTTGTACCCTGAGTTTTGTTTTGTTTTAGGGAAAAAAAATATTATACCCCCCTGCCAAAGCAGGATCCTAATCTCAACTCTTCTGAGTTAGCAGCTGCAGTTGCAGAGAAACGAAGTGATTGCCCTGATGAACCTGCTGAACCGCCTATCAGAATCAATCAGCTTTCTGCACGAAATGAGTCCAAATGTTGAGAAAACAATGGAGAGGCTGGTTTCCCACCACCAGACCTCAGTAATGAGTTCATGGAAAAGATTAGTTGATGCTGTTGTAGGCATTCGGTACTTAACAAAGCTAATCCCAACTCCTTTGATGTTTGTTCATCGGCTCCTTCAAGACAATAATGAAGGTATGTTTCTTTGTTTCAGGTTAAGGAGCTCCCCATCATGATCATCATCCCCAATGTGGTGGAATAGATTTGGGTACCCATTGAACAACTGAAACATACATAGATAGCTGTTAATCACTGTAAAACAGAACATGAGACAAGAAGTTGAAATTGAGGGATGGGCTGTGTGCTTTAATGTCCTCACTTTTTCTGGAACTCTGCGAAAACACGAATATAATTAGTATACTGAGAATGGATGCAGGACTATTTTGAACTTTATATTTGTTGGTAAACAGTTCAAACTTTATGTTAGTTTAGAATTTCTTAAAAGTTTTGTGAAAGCAATTGGATAAAGCATCTTAAGTACTCCATCCATCCCGATGTAATTGTTCAGTTTGCCTTTTTGAGTCGTTCATTGTATTCGTCAACTTTACTTCTAAGATAATACTCAATTTTACTTTATTTGACTCTTTTGCTCCCTTTTATTTTTAGTTTTATTTCTTACGGAGTATAACTCTTACCAAACCCTCCATCAACTAAAAAGTACTAATTGCAAAGAGAGCAACATGTGCTTTCCATTTTTCTTTCTCATTAGGAGGTCAAAAGAAATTGTACATAAAAACATTGGAACAAAAGGAGGATCATGTAAAGGCACAACTTGCAATTCATTTTTTTTAAAATCAAATTATATTTGGTGAAAGTGACTAGGGGAAGAATTGATCTTGGATAGAGAGGGAGATATGTTAGTCATTCATTCAATTTTATATCTCATTAAAATTTTTATACTCAGTATATACTCCGTAAATATTTGCTCGGTCCATAAATTAATTTCCTACATGCAAATTAAGAAAGGGTGAAAAAAAATAACTTTTGATATTGGCCCTTGGAATTGAAAAAACTAAAATAAAGTGTATGGATAAGTAGTAATTATTCAGTAAAGTTGAACATGTTATTTAAAGAGGAAGGAAAACATTCACTTGAAATGAACAGATAAACAAAGAAGGTGAGAAGAAAATTAATGTACGGAAGAAGAGAGCATATATATAATTTCAAAATGAATTCTATACTTTATTGTTGATTCCAAAATAGATTCAAACATCATAAGGCATATAGTTGCAAAATAGCATTCTTAGCACACTACTTAGAGAAATGCTAGTCACAAAAAGAATGGTCATAATACACAATTTTTTTAGTTGTGCATTTAAATTTCTATTTTTAATTATATAATTTTTTTTGGTGAGGTATAAAAATAATAAGATTTTGTATTTTGTAATATTTATCTGTTCATTTTTTTTGGTGAGGTATAAAAATAATAAGATTTAGTTGTGCATTTAAATTTCTATCTTTGTTTATCTGTTCATTTCTCAACTATTTAACTTCTCAACACAAACTTCATTTCTTACTCCATAGCATGTTGAGTAATAGTAACATAGATATCTTACCTATAAGAATAGAGATTGATGCATGTCATGATAGTTTTTATATTTATATTGCACTATTATTTTATTGAAGGGTGCACTATTTAAATGCAAACAAAAAAAATAAGCAAAAGAGTAAATGACAACAATAAGTGAAGATTCAAGTCCAATCCATTGGGTTCCCCAAATTGCTGTGAGAAAGGAATTAGACGCGCTATAAAAAATTCTTGTACGTCGAAATACTTCACTAACATAAGAATTTGAATGCAATAATTTGTTACAAATTGGTACACTATAATAATCATTGGTGTATGTTAAGAAAACATATTGGCTTTCTATATATGCTTGTGGTTATCCATGAAAGAATAGTAAATATTGCTTCAAATTTATGAGCACCACCGCGTCAAAATTTTACTACACTGAGTAGCCCCTTACCGTAGCTCTACCTTTGTTTCATCCTCTCGTCTAAAAATTTCTTGATGACACTGTAATTTCATAATCCTTTGTAACAATAGAATGACATTGATATTAAATATAAATTTTAATTAATTAATAGTCAAAATTTTTCAATTTTGATGATAAAAAATCAAAACTGAACAAATACCTTGAGATAAGAAGTAGGATCTTACTTTGAGATACGAATATCACAATTATGAGAAGTTGGTTAGTGTGTGGTTAATTAAGGTCCCGTTCCATTCAACTTATTTTTTCTTATTTTTTCTTATTCTTATTAAAATCAGATCAGATCAGATCGAATCAGATCAGATCAGAACGAATCAGATTAGATCAGATCAGATCCAATCAGATCAGATCAGATCCAATCAGATCAGATCAGATCCAATCAGATCAGATCAGACCCTATCAGATCAGATTAGATCCAATCAGATCAGATCAGATCCAATCAGATCAGATCAAATCAGATCAAGACTTATTAAAATAAGATCTCATCAAGAATTATTATTATTATTATTATTATTATTATTATTATTATTATTATTATTATTATTGTGATCATTATCATCATCATCATCATCATCATCATCATCATTATTATTATTATTATTGTTCTTAAAAATGAAAAAGAATAAACTTTAGAAATAGGTTAAATAAAAAGCTGAGAAAGTAATCCTTAATTATTAGACGTCGGAAAAATTAGTTTTAAAATACATTGACAATGTCAATCTAATTCTACTTTTAAAATATATTTTTATTGCTACTTGTAATTTGAGTTTCTAAACTTTTGATCTTTTATAAGGATGAGATATTTTAATAAAAATACTATCTCTTCTATATATTGATTATCTAAATTTAATTACTTTTAAATGTATATCTAAATTAAATATTTATTCTAATGTATAATTCTAAATTTACAAAAAAATAATCATAAAATAAAAAATATTATTACATTATAATATGAATGATTATTCTAATATATGAATTAACTATTTTTATTTTATTAAAAAAAATCATTAAATAAAAAATATTGATTATATTATAATATGAATTATCATTACAATTTCCAAACGTTATTATAAAGTCAAATTAAATTATTGATTTGAAATTTTAAATTAAATCATAATTAATCAGATCAGACCAGATCAGATCAGATCCAATCAGATCAGATCAGATCCAATCAGATCAGATCAGATCCAATCAGATTAGATCAGATCTAATCAGATCAGATCAGACTAGATCAGATCAGAACTTATTAGAATCAGATCAGATCAGAAAAAATAAGTTGAACGGAACGGAGCCTAAATCTTTGATACTCCCGTCTCAAAATATTTTACAAGTTAAGCAAAACGAAACGAATTTTTAAAATTTTTGAATTCATTTTATTTAAAGATTGATATAAAAATTAAAAATAAATTTACATATTTTAAAACTACGTTAAAAGTTTTACAAAATGAGAGTTAACAAAATATTTTATTTTATCCAATAATCAATCAAAATATAAAAGTAAATTTTTTTTAATTTCAAACTAGTGAAGAGTGTAATTTTTTCTCTGAGGTATACAATATTTTTTTTAGTTTTTTTTATGGAATCGTTTTTTTTTGGAATCAGTTTTTTTTAATCCTTCGGCAACGACCATTATCAATCCACGAATGCCAACCAGTCCGATCCCATCCCCGAGTTGATTCGCTTCGGACTCGCTCTCCATTTCCAGATCCCATCTCCGGTAAGCATTTTCGTAGATATATCTGCCGACTTTTTTAGCTGCATCTAATTCTGGAATGAGATGCTGTTCTTGGTTCTGTTTGTTGCTCTGATTTCTACATCCATGTGAATGCCGAATATATCATTTTCGGAAATGCAGTCGTTTTCTGTGTGTGTGTGTGTGGCGATCCTCGATTTGCCGCAAGTTTATAGCTGTTTGTCTACCGCTCTGTTCTGACATTTTGATTGCATCGGTTTTCATTTTGATTATGGATTTTAACGTTGGATATGGCCTTTTGAACATTCTGTGATGTACAATGTTCATTTTGTCAGGCTGCTCGCGTTTTTTGCATCTCTATGCGGTTTTACATTATACTGTTGCAGATGATGAATAACTATGATTGACATTCATTCTGAAATTTTGATATTGATTTTGTAGATTCATGATTCATGCACCATTAATGGTGTTCTAGGTTTAGTAGGGTCTGCCGGGGTTGTGTCCCTCGTTTTGTTTAGCAATGACGTTTTCATCTGTCTTGAGGAGAATCTCAGCTGGTTTGTTATTTTTCATCCTCGTTTCACACTCTTGCAATGGGTTTTATTTGCCGGGCACCTACATGCATACATACTCCAATGGTGATGAAATCTTTGTTAAAGTGAATTCATTAACCTCAATTGAGACTGAGCTTCCCTTTGGCTACTACACTCTCCCTTACTGCAAGCCCCAGAATGGTGTCAAGAAAAGTGCTGAGAATCTTGGAGAGTTGTTGATGGGAGATCAGATTGATAACTCTCCTTACCGTTTTCGGATGAATGTGAATGAGTCAATTTTCCTTTGCACCACTCCCCCACTAAAGGATTACGAAGTGAAGCTATTGAAACAGCGGACACGTGACCTTTATCAGGTGAATATGATCCTAGATAATTTGCCTGCTTTGAGATATACTTCCCAGAATGGAATGAAGATTCAGTGGACTGGGTATCCTGTCGGATACACATCACCAAACAGCAATAACGAAGCTTACATTATTAACCACTTGAAGTTTAAAGTTTTGATTCATGAGTATGAGGGTGCTGGAGTGGAGATAATCGGTACTGGGGAAGAAGGTATGGGTGTTATTTCAGAGACTGATAAGAAGAAGACGTCTGGTTATGAAATTGTTGGTTTCGAGGTTGTCCCTTGCAGTGTTAAATATGATCCTGAAAAGATGGACAAGCTTCACATGTATGATAGTGCCACGCCAATACAGTGTCCATTGGAGATCGGCAAGTCTCAAGTTGTAAGGGAGAATGAGAGGATATCATTCACTTATGAAGTTGAATTTGTGAAAAGCAACATCAGATGGCCATCTCGATGGGATGCTTATCTCAAGATGGAAGGTGATCGTGTCCACTGGTTCTCAATTCTCAACTCATTGATGGTGATTCTCTTCTTGGCTGGGATTGTTTTTGTCATCTTCTTGAGAACTGTCCGAAGGGATTTAACAAGGTATGAGTATCAAATCAAATAAACACATACTTCGCATTCTATTTAAATTTGATTATATTAGAACTTTTTTGTGTCTGTTTACTATCTGGGTCTCAAAAGCTGTTTGCATTCGATTTCATGTACGGGTATTTGCATTTGAAATTTAACAATTACTCCGTATTCAAATAAAAAATGAGATACATATTTGCGTTCATGTTAGACTCGTTGGGAGAATAAAATCTCCTTATTCAAATTAGAATCAGGGATTGAATTTAAATTAATTTAATCTCTTCCAACCCCTAGGTATGAAGAATTGGATAAAGAAGCTCAAGCACAGATGAACGAGGAACTTTCTGGGTGGAAGCTAGTGGTGGGCGATGTGTTTAGAGAACCGAATCACTCAAAGCTACTCTGTGTTATGATTGGAGATGGGGTTCGGATTACAGGAATGGCAGTTGTGACTATTCTTTTTGCTGCTCTTGGTTTCATGTCACCAGCTTCTCGGGGCATGCTGTTAACGGGAATGATAATGCTTTACCTGTTTTTGGGAATCTCAGCTGGTTATGTAGGTGTTCGGCTATGGATAACCATCAAGGGAAATCCAGAGGGATGGAAGTCAGTTTGCTGGGCAACCACATGTTTCTTTCCAGGGATCGTTTTCATCGTGCTCACAGTTTTGAACTTTATTCTGTGGGGAAGCCATAGCACTGGTGCGATCCCCATTTCCTTATACTTCAAACTCTTAGCCCTATGGTTCTGCATTTCGGTCCCACTCACTCTCTTGGGAGGTCATCTTGGGACCCGAGCAGACCCCATTCAGTTCCCTGTCCGAACCAATCAGATCCCAAGGGAGATCCCATCAAGAAAATACCCATCATGGATTCTTGTTCTCGGAGCTGGAACTCTTCCATTTGGTACACTCTTCATAGAACTCTTCTTCATCCTCTCTAGCATCTGGCTTGGACGCTTCTATTACGTTTTTGGTTTTCTCCTCATTGTCTTCCTTCTTTTGGTGATCGTTTGTGCGGAGGTCTCAGTTGTCCTCACATACATGCATTTATGTGTTGAGGATTGGATGTGGTGGTGGAAAGCTTTCTACGCCTCAGGTTCCGTCTCTCTCTATGTGTTCTTGTATTCCGTCAACTATTTGGTGTTTGACCTTCGGAGTCTGAGTGGGCCCGTGTCTGCCATGCTGTATTTAGGCTATTCATTGATAGTGGCAGTTGCAATCATGCTCGCCACAGGCACCATCGGTTTCCTAACATCGTTTTACTTTGTCCATTACCTCTTCTCATCCGTGAAGATTGATTGAGCTTGAACCTATTCTAATGAACCAACCAACCAACCGTGTTTGTTCAGATAGATATGAAGAAGAAGAAGAAGAACCTTTCTGCTATGATACCTATAGATACCTCATTTCTGTGATTCTTTCAATTTACCGTTTGTTCAGTTTTCTTGTCTTTTCTTTATTTTTCTGCATTTAAAGTTGGTCGTAGCTCGTCCGTTCCTTGTAACTTTTGGACATGTAGTCATCATACTGTAGCTGGATGATGCCATTGTTGGGATAAAGCCTTGACAGTGGATACTGAAGTGTAATCTGCTTGATATGGTTTTGAAAGCAGAGAAAGAAACTCCATTGAGCTTTGCATGGCAACTCCTGATTTAATACAGATCTTGTGCTGGGTTTTGCTCTTGCTTCTCTATAATTGTTCATCCAATGCTCTTTATTCTTAAATAAATTGTTGTTTTGGTAACTAATAATGTGAAACAATATAAAATGATTAAGTCGTCTTCTCCTTGATTTTCAATAAAACTTTCAATGCTAACTTTTTAGAACAAATTTATCATGAGTAGTTTGTTTGGAAACTAGTTGTAACTTGTAAGTTGTTTTATGTGTTTGTGTCAATGTTTGGTAAAATGTGTTTGTCCGTTATTAGGGCCAATTGTTTTAGTGAAATTTGTACTAAATAGTACTAAAATATATGTCATTTTCTAATGTACTCCGTAGTATTTAACTTCTTTTTTTCCTAAATAGTGTTTGAATAATGTCTAGTGGTGGAAACAATGTACAGTGATGATGTGCATTTAGTTTGAAGAATGTCCAAGGGTGGTGAATATTTACTTGAGCAATGATCAGTGGATAATGATCAATGATATTACATTGAGAAATAAAAATATACTACCTCCATCCCATTTTAAATTATTTGTTTGCCTTTTTTCTCCGTCCCAAAATAAGTTGTCTGTTACTTATTTTCGTAAACTTTTAAAAGTAAAATACCTAAACTACCTCTAAAATAAGTCACTCTTCTCCACCTTATCTTCTCATTCATCGTCATCCCCTCTAAAAAGTATGACAATTTCAAAAAATCAACTCTATTTTTTCTTTTCCTTAAATATGCACAAAAGTCAAAACAGACGATTTAAAACGGGACATAGGGAGTATTATATTGAAAAACTCACTATGTTTTAGTACAGGGTACTATTTAAGTAAATTCTCCATTGTTTTTTAAAGTAGTACTTCGTATTTGGTAATATGTATTGACTTAGTTAGGTATTTGGGATATTTTATGTAAAGAGTTGCCAACCGAATTTCCACATATAATCTTCAATTCTAAAAGATCACATTCATCGTTCTCAATATATGAGAATTATTTCAAAATTAGTCATTTGGCATAAATATTGTTTTTCTTATATATTCTTCAAAGGATAGATTATGAATAAATTTTAAATATCAAGAACTACATATGTAATTTCGAGCCCCTGTGGAGGTGGAGTTATTAGTCTTTTGTGCGTCATTAGGTTGAGAATATTATGAACCTATATCATTTTGTAATAGAGTCAATATCACTAAAAAAAATAGAATGCAAAAGTTTAAATATTTCATTTAAATGTGAAAATTTAAAAAAAAGGAGTAACTAATAATCGGCTAGTTAACAAAAAATCATTTTTATACATTCAAAGATGGATTACGCAAAAAAACATAAATGCTCCGTGAAACAGAGATTGAAATACTCCCTCTGTGTCTTATAGATCGTTTCCAATATTATTTACAAGGTCAAACTTAGTTAATTTTGTTTGTTTACTTCTACTATCCTTATTAATTAATACAATTATGTTACACTTATTTTATAGAATTTTTCATGTAATTTTTTAAAATATAAATTTTATTTTTAAATTTTACAACTAAAATAAAAATTAATTAAATTGAATATAAAATTGGTAATACTTCTTTTTTTTATATATAGGGAAGTTTTTTAAAATCTAAAGTCACTTTACAAAAAACGTGGTTTAAGTTCCACAAAACCCTTGTTTTTGTTAAACCCTTGAGAAACGGCAGTTCGTGTCCGTCTCACCGGAAAGATCAGCGAAGACGAAGATCCATTTTTCCTGACCCGCGAAACCCTAGCGTTTCTCCATTTCGTCCCCGGATCAGTCGTTTTCATCGATGGAGGGAAGCCCATCAGCAGAGTGACTGGAAGCTCATTTCGAGCGTTTGAAGGTATTCTCCTTTGATTTGTAATTGGATTTCCTTTGTTCTAATCGAGAAGAAGAAGAAGATTTTGTCAATTTCATTTAGATACCAGTTATTCTTTTTCCAACATACCGCCGTTCTATGTGAATTATATGTGACATTGTTAGTATGTTTACTTGGACATGATATACTCCGTAGTAGATTGCAATTTAAAACCCATCATTTCAATGCATATGCAATATGTGGAATGAATTTTTCTGATTTTTTCATTATGATTGTAAAGCTCGAAGTTTTGGAGCGAATGTAGATTTCGTTCACATTTCCATCTCAGTGTTTGTATCTGATGAAAATGTCTGTTTATCTGTGGTTGTTTGTTAGGTTTGTGTGGTGCAAGTGCCGGGAGAGAGGTGTGTTGATGAAGATCTGTGATCTGGGACAACTCTAGACAATGGGTTGGTCAGAGAAAGATCTTTGCATAAAATGTGATAGGGGTGGCAAGATGTTGGCTTGCAGTGAGAGTAGAACCAGTAGATGTCCTATAGTTGTTCATGAGAAGTGTATGGGTTGCCAGGCTTACTTTGATGACGGTGGAGACTTTTATTGCCCATACTGTTTATACCGGCAAACAACTGCAGAATCGCACAAAGCGTTGGAAGTTGCTATGTTAAAAAAGCAAGCTCTGTCCACTTTCCTAGATAAAAAAATGCTTAATGGTGAAAAACTACTATCCCAACCATCTGATGTCTTGCAGAGTATAAATGTTCATCATTCCATGGACAATAATTGTGATAATGATGCTTTATTGGTGGTTGGGCATCAAACGGAATGTGGTCCGGTTGTTGCTGATGGATGTAAATCTAGTGATGAACAAGTGGCCATACAGGAGGGACTTAGAGTTGTAGAGGATGGTGAAGGGATGGAAGCAGAACATGATTCAGTTGCTGATGACGACAAAATAGATAAACATGCTGAAGATCCTCAAGAAGATGACCATCCCAATGAGATACCTGAAAGAGAAAGGAAAGCGATGAAAAATGATCAACAAATTCTAGCAGAGAATGATCTGGCAGTGGAAGATATTCAAGATGATGGCTACTTGAACGAGACATCAGAAAGACAAAAGATGACTAGGAGGAAAGCGAATAAACTGCTTGCAGAAAGCGAACCAGACGTTGATGACAAAGTGCTAGAAAGAGATGGTGAAAACCAACAAGAAGACGGCCGTGCGAGTCAGTTACAAGGAAGAGGAAATAAAACCAAGGAAAAAACTAAAAGAGACAAGAAAACAAGGAAAAATGCGAAACAAGTGCTTACAAAAGATGAACAACTACTAAATAGTGATGTTGAAGATCGCCCAGAAGATGGCCATCTGAGTGATATACCTGATAGAGAAAATAAAGTCAGGAGAATATCTAAACGAATGCTAGCAGAAGATGAACCGGGGGTTGATGAGGAACAACTAGCTAAAGATGTTGACGGTGGCCACCCAAGCGAGATAACTGACAGTGAAAAGAAAACCAGGAGAAAATCTAAACGAAAGCTAGAAGAAGACGAACCTGAGGTTGTTGACAAAGTACTAAATAAAGATGTTGAAGATTGCCACCTGAGGGAGATACCTGACAAAGAGGAGAAAATGAGGAGGAGATCTAAACGGAAGCTAGCAGAATATGTACCGGAGGTTGATGACCAACAAATAGATAAAGATATTGAAGGTGGCCACCTGAGTGACACACCTGTAAGCGACAAGGATGTTAGGAGAAAATCCAAACGCAGGCTAGCAGAAGATGAACCAGAAGTTGATGATGAACAACTGGATGAAGAATGCAACTTGAGAGAAATAACTGAGAATGAAGATAATGTGAAGAAGAAATCATTAAAAATGCAAACCGAGAGGAAAGAAAATGAAGCTGGTGGTCCAGAATCTGGTGCCGTTTCAACAAGAAGCAAGCGCATTTTAAAGAAAAGTGAAACTGAGGATGAGCCTTTAAATTCCGATCCTAAGAAAAGGTCAAGTGGGTCAACTTATGCAACAACGAAAGTTTCAAATCTAAATGGGGAGACAAATGAACCTATCAAGTTGCTAGCTCTAGAGCATTCAACATGGCAGTGAGTGATCAACTACTTGAGAAGATTAACTAAAATTTTCATACTCCATCTGTCCTTGAAAATAGTCTTCTTTCAAGCACGTTTTGCTCCAAAAAAGAATCTATTTTGATAAAATGAATTTAATATTTGATTTACCAAAAGATTTTCAACAAGTGTCACAGTCAATAAATTTATTAAAATGGAAAAAACGTCATAAATATAAATATAATTAATGATTTTGGAAGTTTTTACCTATAAAAATCTAAACATGTACAATGCTCAATCAATTTGTTTTCGGGGACAGAGGTAGAATGCCTTTCCACCTCCGTTTGCTTGACTGTGCTTCTTATTTGAACTAATTTCTTTGCTGCAGGAGGAGTCCAATTCCAAATGGAAGGCGTAAAAAGTTAATGTGGAGTGAGGAAGAGGAAGAAATGCTCAAGGTACATACATGAAAATGAAATTTCAGACAACCTTAATTAATTGTATAGGAGTAACAATTTCTATGTGAAATGGATGGAAATTGCATGTAAGTTGAGTTTCTAATGGTTGGTTATTTATTGCATATACATGGCTACAGGAGGGTGTTCATAAGTTCTCAACAACGGCTAACAAAAACATACCTTGGAGGAAGATCTTAGACTTTGGTCGTCATGTGTTTGATGGGACTCGTACGCCCGTTGATCTCAAGGACAAATGGAGAACCTTGTGGGCCAAATAAGGTGCGCCACACTTACTAAAAGGACCTTTGCAGCAGTTTGAACTTCGAATGAATATCAAGAAGGCATATTGGGAAAAAAAACATTGTGGGCATTAGCTTTGTTAGAGTTGTTTTGGGGTTATTTTGGTGGGTATCCTATTACATTGTCCTAGTACATTATCACTCATGAGTTGTGACGTGTTTAGTTCCTAACTTTTGTTTTTAGTTACTCATTAATGGAGTAATATGCTTTGGAACAGAAGTTTTAGAGGGTGTTTGGGACTGATATTGAAAATGAAACTCAGCTTTTGCTTTGGATGGAACAAATTGAAATGTTTGAGAGGTGTTTGGAAGTGTGGTAGATTGTTGAAAAATCCCAAGATTTAAGTAGAAGGGGAAAGCAAATAATTTTAGCTTTGCTTAAAAGTACTTTTGGAGTCTATTTTAGACTACAAAAGTCATAATTTATAACCAGAAATTAACATTTTAATGAAGAAGAAGCTCAAAAATCAAATTTTAAGATTTTCAGCTCTTCAAGAGATGGAGAAAGAGAAGCTGAAAAGCATTCACCTCATGTATGGTTGTTTGCTTATTTGACTAGCCAAAACACTTGAAATTAATGTTTGGAGTGTGGCTTTAAGGACACTGGAAATAGGTATAAAGCTCCCTGTGTTATTGGACTTTAAACGGGCTTCAAAGTATTAAACACCGCCTTTATGTTAGTTAAAGTGGCGTTAAGGGAAGTTGCGTCAAAGGTTTGACACAGGGAGGAGAAAAAGTGGACGGCCCCCACCCTTGACAATGGTCCACATATTAAAAAGGTAGTGGTTGGCTACATTTAAAAAAAATCTATAAATTTTCTTTTGAAACAAAAAACACGCAAATCTTCAACTTTTTTTCATCTTTTCTTTAAAAAAATTTCTCATTTTTCATGAATCCTTCATCCGATCTCGAGCCTCATGAATATGTAATTTTTTGTGGTTATTATACTAATGTATATTAATTTAAATCTTGGTTTGAAGCTCGATATTTCTAGTTCTCTAATAATCCATTCGTAAAATTAATAATTTCTATACATAACTCATAGTAAATGAACATCTAACGTCATTTATGAATAAATTAAATACAAAAAATATAAATATAATTTTGTTATTATTCAAATCTTATTTTATTAATCCAATTTTTTATTGAATGTATTTTTTTATTAATTATTAGTGTTTAAATGTAATTAATTAATCAAATTTTGTTCTTTTAATTTACAAATGTGTATTAAAAATTTTTAAAAAAGGTTTGAAGCCTTAGTTTAAAGTCTCAGAGCTTCATTTCTAGTAAAATTTTGATGTAAGTTAAAGCTAATGTAGCAGAGATAGAGGGTCTGAAGCTCCGGGCTTCATGATCATTTCCAGTGCTCTAAGATCATGTACAACAATAAGGAATCCGCCCCATCCCAGCCTCGTGTCACATCAGCATTTCATTAATTTTCTGTCCTGCCCCAAAATCTTGCAATAATATTGCCATAAAATCCGCCTTTTATAATATTTATAATTTTAATTTAATAAATTATTAATAAATTCAAAACTTATATAAAACAAATATTTATTTATTAAAAAAATTGATAAATAATACTCCCTTTGTCCACCCAGTTACTATTTATTGAGTCAAACTTAACTCACTTTGATTACCTATTTTTACTACTCATATTATAAAATAATATAGTCTTGTCACCATTAGTTTTGTAAAAATTTTTGTGTACTTTTTTACTATAAAATTTTATTTTAAATTTTAACCTTACAATTAAATGAAGTGAATTGAAAAAAATTCAGTCAAGCCTCGTAACGCATAATGAGAAGATCTTTGGCAGATGGAGTAATAAATAAAATATACTACTTCCGTCCCAGAGTATTTGTCCACTTTCATTTTTACACACCATCCAATGCACTTCTTTAATCTATTTTATCTTCTAATTTGTATATTAAAAAATTATAAAAATTATATAATCCGTATTAATAATCTATATGTTAAGACAAATCAAACAAAATCACACATGATTATATTTAGACTTACACATTGAGAGAATTTGATGAGTCAAAGTGCTTAGATGAACAGTTCTAAAAGTCAAAACTGGACGAATACTCTGGGACGGAGGGAGTAAGTTATAAATTCAAAGTTAACAAAAATAAACAAAAAGATTAACAAAAATAAATAAAAAGGTCCGACAGGAGAAGGAAGAAGAAAGAAAAGACAATCCGGCAATAGAAGGAAGAAGAAGGCGATCCGATCGGACAAGAAACGGAAGAAGAAGGGAAAAGAGATTCGGCGCGGTAGACCGCCTGCAGTGGGCGATTGCCGCAAAATTCAGCCGCAAATTGAGTGCGGCTTTGCGCCACTGTTGGGGCGAGGAGCGCGGCGGAGGGCTTGCAGCGGTCGGCGAGCAACAAATTGGCCTCGGATTCCGTGCGGCGTGGCTGATTCCTCATGGTGCTCTAAGAGCATTACCAATACCAAGACAAAAATGAAATGTCACACGGTAACATGAATAATTCCAACCAATAAAAAATAACTTAGTCACCGTGTGACAAATGAGTGGTGTATAAATCATTATTTTTCTCTATTTTTATATTTTTAATGATTTTTAATTATCAAAAATTATTTACACATTTATTTTATTATTAAAATACGTATACTTCTTTTAAAAAATATTTTTTTCAAAAATTAAAAACATAAAAAAAATATTAAAAAAAATAAAAAAAATAAGGGAGTCATGCCTTGCACATGAAATGAAAAGTGAGGTAGAATGGTCATGAAATACCATGATTTGAGTGACATTTGCTGACATGGCAAGGCAAAGCAAGACATTGCCTTACCAGTGTGAATGCTCTAATGTTCATAGTTGAGACCATCTCGCATGCAAAAGAGCATACGTTTATCCAAACTTGAACTTGACCTGAGCAACTCGTTAACGTAAGAGCACTATAATTTGATAAATAATGTATTAAATTAAGTTATGTCTTAAATTTTTTCTTATCACTCATTTTTAGTTTATAAACTTATATTTTTAAACAAGTTTTAAATTTTTTCACATACTTATCTTAGACTTTTTAAAAGTGGTATATATTTTATTTTTATATTATTAATAATATTGTTAAATACTCCCTATATCTTAAAAGTTCAAAATAAACTATTCCAAAAACTGTAATATATGTTTTTTGATATTTAATTATTTTAAGTGTAAAGTATAAGTGTTTGTATGATTTTTAATATTCTAAAAATGATTTTATAACATGTTGGGTCGATTCAAACCCGGTCATGAACATGCAACTCTCAATCTGAACACAAACTTACCCAAACCCGATATAACTCGAAAATGAAATGACTGAATTCGAGCTTGACATGACCGACTACTCACTCACTCGCCTTAATAAAATTTTCAAAAAGAAATTTTAAAAATAAATAGTGAGTGGTTAAAATTTAATTAAAAGATGAGAAAAATTATAAACCATGTTATCTTTATTTTATTTTGGAAAATGCTAGAGTCACAAATATATAGTTCACAAATTTCACAAACTTGCTTTTTTCTGGATTTTATATTAAAACATATTTTATTATTTGAGTGCATCTTATTTCTAGGAAAATGTTAAAAAACTAAATTTGTGAATTTTGTAAAGTGTTTGTTTGTGACTATAGCATTACTCTTTTATTTTTATTAAAGAGTACTACTTAGGCTTTGTTTGGTAACAGCGTTTTTGATTAGCGTTAGCGTTTTGGATAAAATTTTAATGGTGTAGATAAATTCTGAAAACGCTAACTTTAAAGGCTACCGTCGGATAGTCTTTTCAAAACGCTAATGCTAATAGCTAACGCTGATGCCAAACTGGGCCTTAATTGCCACCAATTCCTTTTAGGGCTGCGCATGATAAATAGACAAACAAGACGCTCTTTGTTGCCCAAACTCGAAGAAACAAACAAACCCAAATTAGATTCGCGCAATCCCTCACATCCGGCCTCGTATACAGTCTCATGTTCTTCAGCAAGATGTCAGGTAATTCATTGTTTATTTTCCTACTTGTTAATTCGATTACCATCTCCATCAGATCTGAAACCATTTTATGTTATTTCTCAGATCTGAAATCATTTATATATTAGTATACGCACAGAACCGAAATCTATTTTTCCTAGACAAAGCTCAATCTTAATTGTTCTTCCTGGTAGAGATTAATTGTGACCATAAGAGAAATTGAGAAGCCATCGAGGAGGAAGAGGAGGAGACAATAGATGTTGATAATGAACAACAAGAAGAAGAGATGCTTCCAGATTCCCCAAATTCTTCAGAAGGCATTAATTCTTTTTTAGAAAACAGATCTTTCATTGATTATATACTGGCAGTAATTTTTTTCTTTTCACTTAGGCTCTAGCACAACACACATCATTTGGTTGGTTGGATTGTTTAGGTAATTTGGGGTGTTTGTGCAGCATGTATTCATGGACATCCTGTGTAGAAAAGTAGAATCTGATTTTGAACTCAAGCAGCTGGTAGAAGAAGAGCTTTTTCAATCCCTTAAGAATGCAGTTGAAGATGGTGAACAGGTCTCAACTTTTGTTTCCGGAGTGAAAAAGCTTTTTGAGAGTGATGTGTTTATTCAGGCATGTGCTGAGGCACATATTGAGGTATTATATATTGAGGTGTTCCATGTCTCTGATTTTGTTGTTGTGTATGGTTATTCTCATACATTTATTTTGTTGTTGTTGTTTTGATTGTATAGGATCCGTACTTGCTCATTGAGTTAGGGTGTAGACTTGATGCGGAAAGCAACGAACGCATGGAAGCTCTTATGAGGGACACATTCTTCCAACCCATTTTGCAAGAGACACTACCCGATGCCATTATTAGGTGATATGTGTATGATATGCTGTATTTATATGATTTTCATGTTCTATTCTGATCTAGGTGATTATATTTATTTGAAATTGAAATAATTCTCTTTTTGTGACTATGACCTTGAAGAGGACATGGCCTCATTTAGTGTCTTCTAGTCTTACTCCACATTATGGAGTAATTAATTTACATTTCACTGGTCAATTCTTTTACCAATAGTAGTTTTTAAACCTTTTCTTCTTAAGAGGGGTCTTGTCTGTTGTTTTTGGATATTGGGGTGATAAAGAAAAAGCAGTTACTGCAGAACAGAAGAAAATTCCCAAACCTGATCGTGGACCTCCAGTGGAGATGGTGTATGATAATATTCTGAATATTGATGTCTCTTCTGACACTGAGGTAGATTCCTTTTTTTCTTTGTTCAGTTCAGTGCTTTAATATTTTTCCCGTGTTTTAACGTTGTTTATTCCAGCTCTGTAGAAATTTAGGACATGTTTGATTTTGAGGGGAGGGGGACAATCTCTCTTCCTCCATTCCCTCCTTTTCATCTCTTTGAACCAAAACGGACTTCATTATTGCAAGTCACTAGATCAATATGTATTACTACTCGGTATATTAACATTTTTCAATGAAATCTCTAGGGTTTGAAAGAAGCATTGACCAGTAGATACCAAAACGATCCTAACCACGATTACAATCATATATGCGAAGAGGTATGCAAGACATTCTCCTCATAATTTGAATGTGGTTTATATTCCATCATATTTACTTGATCAACTCACTGATTCTTTCACTCAAGACATTCACCTCATATTTTTATTTTTTTTTTGATAAATATTACTTCTTGTTTGTTTCTTTCAAATTGAATCAAATTTATTTGTAATTGTTAATTTTGATTTCCAAATTCCTTAGAATTTAGTTACTTGAGGGTTTAACGAGAACAACTTTTGAGTTCTAAAAGGTTTCAGAAAACATCAATTGTTGTTTGAGCTAGAGCAAAATAGTGGGTTTTTTAAATCATTTCTTATTTAAATGTTCAAGCCAACAAAAACTCATTAGACAATTATATGTATGTATGTATGCATGCATGTATTTATGTATGACTCATGGTTCCTATACACAGTGCAGTAGTGGAGCCTTTCTAGTGAGGAATTAACACAAATTAATTACGGAGTACTTTAGTATCTTGACTTAAACGGTTTCTAATATAACCATTTTAACTATTAGTATATATTTATTTATATCATACGGACTATGAAATAGAAGATTTTAAAGCTAATATTCAAAATGCGATAATCTTATAGATCATAAATTTATATATTCTCTCCGTCTAGCAAAATTGTTTTCCTTTCTTTTTTCCTCTATCCCAAAAAATCTTTCTCATTTTTATAAAAGAGTCATTTTTACCCCCACTAATTCTTAACCTAGCTATCACATTATACTTTTTTACTATTAATCTTCTTATCACATCTTACTTTACCCATCACATTCAAGGTTATTTTTGAAATGTCAATACCAAAATACTTTCATCTAAATCTCTTAAAAAGTCAAAAACAAAAAGGTTTTGTAGGATTTTCGTGAAATTCGTGGTCAAAGTTGTAAAAAGTTGACCATGCAACTTATAACTTGAAGGAAGCTAAGAAATGCATATCAAAATAGTGTAAACCTTACTCGTCTTCATTAACCTATCATCATGCATATATAATATAAAAGTTCGTGTAGGTGTAAACTAAGTAAGTGTATGTGTAACAAAAAGATAAATTTTACTTGCCTTCTTTAACTTAACATAAAATATTTTTGTGTAAATTATAAGTCCTGAATCCGTGGCTGGCTGGGCTTTCTCTTATTCACACACCAAATTAATTTTCTTCGGTTGAAAAGTAAATACATCAGTTTTCTTAACTTGGTTGTTCCCTTTATTCATAGAGTACATAGCTTGGTATAGATTGCCGGACATTACCTATTTTCCACGTAGTTAAATACTATGGCTCCGGAACCTAGAACGATATGATTAAACTTTTTCTGAGGTTAAAAATGTCAATGTGTTTATATATTTTATCAAGTTTGCCTACAAAACTTTTGCCACATCATCCGCCAATCAAGATATATTCATGGTTAGTGAAAAAGAAAAGGGTAATCTTAATCATGCAATACTTCAATATAGAGAATCAGTTACTCAAATAACATTGAGGGCGAATGATTTGTATCGTATAGGATTTTAAAGTAAAAAAGGATGGTTGAGGTATAAGAAAGACACCATCAAATAGACGCACAAAACTTGATTTTAAAAAGAAAATTTATACATTTGTATGGACTACACAACGTTGAGAGTTTTGTCACTACGCTTGGTGGTCTAGAATACATATCTAAAGCGATGATAGGGTTGTAGGAGGTTAACGGATGGGACTGAAGAATGACCCTTTCTGAAAAAAGAATTATGGAAAACAACCATTGATGCTTATAACATCGTTTTCTGAGAGCCTACGTTTCATCAACCATATTATAGAGCATGTAGCAGGTCTTTCTAACAGGATAGATTCTAAAGGTTTATCGGTTCTAGATTGGATTCTCAATATAGTTCAATGTTTGGGAAAAATTTCACGACTGGTGTTGAAAAAGTAAGATTATTGAATTATATTTCAATACCATTTGTGAAACTTTTTCCTAACATTGAACTATATTGAGAATCCACTCTAAAGCCGGCAAACCTTTAGAATCTTTCGTGCTAGAAAGACTTGCTACGTGCTCCAAAATGTGGTTGAAGGGTAGGCTCTCGGAGAACAATGTTATAAGCCTCAACAGTTGTTTTGCGATATTTCTTTTTTCTGGAAGGTCCATTGTTCGGTCCTCTCCGTCAACCTCCCACAACCCTATCGCTTTGGCTATGTACTCCGGACCATCAAGCATAGTGTACGGAGATAAAGCTCTCAACGTTGCGTAGTCCTTACAAATGTCTATAAATTTTTCCATTTAAAATTAAGTTCTGTGCGTCTGGTTCATGGTGTCTTTCTTTTAACTCAAGCCATCCTTTTTGGCTTTTGAATCCTATAAGATACAAATCATTTGTCCTCAATGCTATTTCAACTGAATCTCTATATTAAAGTATTAAATGATAGACATTACTCATTTCCTTTCTCTAACCATGAATATATCTGGAATGGAGAAAATGTAGCAAAAAGTTTTGCTAGCAAATTTGATAAGATTTACAAACACATTGGCATCTTTAACCTCGGAAAAGTTTAATCCTATCGTCCTAGGTTCTCAAACCATAATATTTAACTACGGGGAAAATAGGTAGTGTCCAGTAATCTATACCAAGCTGTGTACTCTATAGATAACGGGAACAACCAAGCTAAGAAAACTGATGTATTTACTATTTAATTGAAGAAATTTAATTTGGTGCGTGAATGAGAAAGAGCCCGTCTGGCCACGAATTCGAGACTTATAATTTGCACAACAATATTTTATGTTAACTTAAAGAAGGCAAGTAAAATGTATTTTTTTGTTACACATACACTTTCTTAGCTTACACCTACATGAGCTTTTAAATTATATATGAAGATTATATATGCATGATAGGTTAATGAAAACGAGTAAAGTTTACACTATTTTGATACGTATTTTTAAGCCTTTTTCTAGTTATAACTTGCGTGGTTAACCTTTTACAACTTTGACCACGAATTTCAGGAAAATCTCACGGAACCTTTTTGTTTTTTACTTTTTAAGGACTTAAGGGGAGTGTGTTTTGGTGTTGATTTTTCAAAAATGTCCTTGAATGTGATAGATAAAAATAGGTTGTGATGAGGAGATTAATAGTGAAAATGTGTAATGTGATAGGTAGGTTAATAATTAATAGAGATAAAAGTGACTTTTTAATATAAAAAAGAGATTTTTTGGGACGGATGGAAAAAAAGGAAAAAAGTTTTGCAAGATAGAGAGTATAAATTTAAGATCTATAAGTTACATATTGAAATATACTTTTAAAATATTATATTCTTATACTCCGTATGATATAAATATATACTCCCTCCGTCCTAAAACCACCTTCTCAGTTTTCGGTTTGACTGGAGGTGGTTTTTAAGAGAGTTTAAAAATTGAGTTGACCTTCCTAAAATGCCCCTCAAAACCTTCTTTCTCCCTCTTGACACTGGACCAAAACATGCCTAATTCGAACAAAAAACACTGGCCTTCTTTCATGTTGTCTTCTTTCATACACAAGGCATGGTTCTTGAATCTAACATTAGGTTCTAAAACAAAATCAAAAATCCAAATTGCAGCTAAACAAATTTAAATAAAATAAAAATGAAATTGGTCCAAGCAACGAGATGAAGGCAGATTTGGGGGATCTGCCCCCCTCTTCACCGAATCTGAAGCGGAGTGGCGACGGCGACGGTGGAGGTCTGATCGGCGATGGTGGAGCAAAGATGCGATCTATGTCTTGAGGAAGAGAAACGATTAGATTTGGATATTAAGATAAAGAGAGACAAGAAGATTAGACATAGATTTTGAGGGGGGGAGAGAGTCGGAGGAGAGAAGCAGCAAGTTGAGAGTGAAGAGAGATGAGAGTGACGGTTGACAGATCCAGTAGGTTGAGAGAGTTGAGGGAGGGATAAAATAGTCAATTCATACACTTTTTTAAGAAGTGGGAAGGTAGTTTTAGGACGCAGAAAAAAGGGAAGTGAGAAGATGGTTTTAGGACGGAGGGAGTATACTAATAGGTAACATGTTTTTATACTCCATACAAGTCAAAATACTAAAGTACTTTGTAATTAATTTGTGTTAATTCCTCACTGGGAAAGGCTTCACTAATGCTCGATGTATAGGAACCACAAGATACTGCGCAATGTTACTAAATCATAGTAACTTTTTTTATTTTCGAATGTAGTACCACTAGTCATTGTTCAAGTAAATGTGTAGTGTCATTGGACATTGTTACAATTAAATATCTAACATCATTGGAAATAAATACTCCCTCCGTCCCCCATAGATCTTCTCAATAGCCCTTTTTCTTTGTCCACAATAGATCTTCTCATTTCATTTTTTAACAATTAAAATACCACAACTACCCCCACTTTATTTATTACACCTCACCCACCTCATTTAATACACTCCACCCATTTTCATTAAGGGTATTATGATAAACTTTCACCTTTTTTCAACTCTCCTTAAAAACCACCAAAAGTCAAAATGAGAACATCTTAGGGGGACAGAGGGAGTATTCAAGTATTATTTAGGAAATAAAAAAGTTTAAGTACTACATTGAGAAATGACATATGTTTTAGTACTATTTAGTACAAATTTCAATTACGAGTACAGGTACATTATTGGTCTTAGGTCGAAGCTAGGCCACCATGGTTGTACCCCAAAGAAATGTACTTTTGAAGAACCAAAAAGTGCATTTCAAGTTGTACCCTAAAGAAATGTCCCGATATTTTAATGGTTTACATTGACACAAAATATTAGTTCAATTAAAAAAATTACACTAACATCACAGTAGCACAAAATGTTGGTGCATGCTTTTGGAGTACAAAATGAGGTACAAGTTGTGGTATATAAATAGTTTAATCTATAATTGTATATGCCAAACAATCCGTAGATCGTTAGTGTGATCTGCCATTTCTAGTAGCTCCGAAGTAAGTACAGTAGTCTATAATAAATGAGTACAAGAAGGATTTTTGTGATTAAAGGTTCGAGTCCCCGAAAACATTTTTACCCTTTTTCCATGTTTATTTATGGATAAGATATTTTTGTATTTTTGAAACTCAACACTTTCATTCATCAAAAAAAAATGCAATACATCGTTAGGGGGAACAAAGCGTCATTCATAGCACCCATTAACAGCCAATCTAGCAAGGGTATGCGTGATCAAATTCGACTGTCTAGGATTGTGAAAAAAATTAACAAAGTTAAAGAAATAAGTGAGTTTTTTGCAATCATCCTCCACCGCGCTCAGGTATGACCGAGCATCTACCTCATCATTCTTTAGAGCATGAACCACTTGAGCACAGTCTAAGAAAATAGAGACTTCTTGGATATTCTTCTCCTTGAGCCAAGATAGAGCTTCCTTAATAGCTATAGTTTTCACATACCTTGGTACTAAAGGATGACAGGTAACAAACTTGTTGAAGCCCCCGATGAACGTGTCTGGCCCATCAAGAAGGGTTGCCACCACCGATGTAGAACTATCCTGTTCAAACACGGCCGCATCAACAAAGCAGCGCAGGAGATCCGGCCGACTTAACTGCTGAAGCCCCGACTCCATCTACGTCACCATCGTTCCACCATGTTAATCACGACCTCTCCTAGCCACACATACTTCTCGTTCCCAATTCGCAGCAACCTTTGGTCTGACCACCTTGAATTCCCAACAGGCTTGATTTCGGGCTTTCCAGATAGCCCAACAGGGCGTAGACTTGATGCGGAATGCAACGAACGAATGGAAGCTCTCATGAGGGACACATTCTTCCAACCCATTTTGCAAGAGACACAACCCGATGCCATTATTAGGTGATATGTCTATGATATGCTGTGTTTATATGATTTTCATGTTCTATTGCAATCTAGGCGATTATATTAATTTGAAATTGAAGTAATTCTCTTTTTGTGGCTATGACCTTGGAGTAATTAATTTGCATTTTAATGGTCAATTCTTTTACCAATAGTAGTTTTTTAACCTTTTCTTCTTAAGAGGAGTCCTGTCAGTTGTTTTTGGATACTGGGGTGATAAAGATTGTTACCATAAGGTGTCTGAAGCAGTTACTGCAGAACGGAAGAAAATTCCCAAACCTGATCGCGGACCTCCAGTGGAGATGGTGTATGATGATATTCCGAATATTGATGTCTCTTCTGACATTGAGGTAGAATCCTTTTTTTTGTTTAGTTCAGTGCTTTAATATTTTTCCTGTGTTTTAACAATGTTCATTCTGGCTCTGAGAAATTAAGGGCATGCTTGATTTTGAGGGGAGGAGGACAATCCCTCTTCCTTCATCCCCTCTCTTTCATCTCTTCGAACGGAAAAGGACTTCATTATTGCAAGTCACTAGATCAATATTTATTAATACTCATTAACATTTATCAATGAAATCTCTAGGGTTTGAAAGAAGCACTAGCTAGTAGATACAAAAACAATCCTAATCGTAATTACAATTATATATGTGAAGAGGTAGGCAAGACATTCACCTCATACTGTGAATGTGGTTTATTTATATCCTATCATAATTTACTTGATAAGCTCACTAATTCTTACTTAAAAAGAAAAATGTTACTCCTTTTCATTTTTTCCCTAAAGCTTTCATTATTTTAGGTGTTGTTTTATGTTGTCCTTGCTGATTGAAAGGAATAAGTCTTATTTTGAGAAGGGACGAAGGGAATCCCTCTCAAGTCTCTTGATTTTTCTAAATTTGACTTATAACAATTTTAATCATTAATATATTTGTTTATTATATAATATGGTCTACGGAGTATATATATTACTAGAGTATAAAAATAGAATATTTCAAAATTATATTTCAAGATATGATAACTTATAGAACTTAAGTTTATATCGCAATTTAACGTATAGTTTTCTATAATTTGTGAAGAAAAAGCTAATCGTGCAAGTTATAATTAGAAGAAAGCTAAGAAAAAGTAGTGTACATTTTACTCGTCTTCATTAATCTATCATATATAATCTAAAAGCTCAAATGTGTAAGTGTATATGTAACAAAAAGATACTTCCTTTGTTTTAATAAACTGTTTCTTTTTTTACTTTTAGTCAAACTAAGGAATGTATATTTATGGTTGATTTTCCAATTCTACCTTTAATGTGATGAATAAAATTGAGATGTGATAGTTAGATTATTAGTGAAAATGGAAGTATATTCTGAAACCCAAAAAAAACAAAAGAGAGAGTTTATTGAAAGGGGGGGAGTACATTTTACTTGTCTTCTTTAGCTTAACATTTTTGTGCAAATTATAGGTCCTGAATCCGTTTGTCGGGCTCTCTCATTTCCACATCGACCCGTTTTCTTATCTTAATTGTTCCTTTCACCCATATACTGAGTAGTACTTAGTTGCTTGAATTGGTTGGTTGCCTTAAATACGATGGCTCGGGAGAGGAGAGAGTTAAACTTTTGCGAGGTAAAAGATGCCAATGAGTTTATAAATTTTATAATGCCCCAAAGTTTTGCTACATCATCCCCTATTCGAGATATATTCATGGTTAGTGAAAAAAAAAGGGTAATCTCTATATTATGTAAAACTACAATATAAAGATTTGATACTTGAAATAGCGGCGAATGATTTGTACCTTATAGGATTTAAAAGCTAAAAAGGATGGCTTGAGTTGAAAGAGAGACACCATAAAACCGACACACAAAACTCGATTACAAATAAAAAATTTATAGACGTGTGTATGAATTATGCGACGTTGAGACTTTTAACACCGGACACTATGCTTGGTGGTCCTGAGCACATAGCTCAATCGATGGAAAGATTGTGGGAGGTTGACGAAGGAGAGCAAAGAATTTGAGGTTAAGAAAACAGAATTATCTCGAAACATTTGTTGACGATTATAACAATGTCCCTGAGAGCTACGATTCAACCACATTTAGGAGCATGTAGCAGAGTTTTTAGCTTGGTAGATCTCAAACCTTTGGCGGCTCCAAAGTGGATTCTTAATATAGTTCGGTGTTGAGGGGAAATATCATTGTTGGTGTTGAAATACAAAGACTCGAACAAAGAAGTGGTGATGGAGGATAGGACAAAGAAATTTACTGTGTATGAGGGTGGGAAGAAAATAAAGTTGATGAAGGTTGGCGAAATCGAGTCTGTACTTGGCATTATAAAAGTTGGAAACTATGAAAATGTGGGAATGGTAGAAAAGGGAGAGAGTTGGAGATGATGGAAAAAAATTGGTACTCGAGCCTTTTTAATATATAGTATTATTTTATTATTTATTTTGATAAGTGGATAGTTATATGTTTGTAATTAATGATTATTACTTAGTATATATTTCAAAACTGATCGAGATGCAATGAAGAAGTTTGACTATGTAGCATCCAATATATATATTGGATGAGGTCCCCCCCTTGACACAAATTTGGTGCTACCTAGTCAAACTTTTTCATTGCATTTCGATAAATTTTCTGAAATGTAATTTATACCAAGTAATAATCACTAATTACAAACAAATATATAACTATCTACTCATAAAAATAAATAATAAAATAGTACTATATATTAAAAAGGCTAGAGTATCATTTTTCTTCCATTTTCTCCAACTCTCTACCTCTTCTACCATTCCCACATTTTCATTGTTTCTAACTTTTATAATGCCAAGTGTAGACATGATTTCGCCGACCTTCATCAACTCTATTTTCTTCCAACCCTCATACACAGTAAATTCCTTCGTCGTATTCTTCGTCACCAATTTCGTCACGACTTCTTTGTTCGAGTCTTTATATTTCAACACCAGCCATGAAATTTCCCCCTAACATCGAACTATATTGAGAATCCACTTTGCAGCCGCCAAAGGTTCGGGATCTACCAAGCTAAAAAACCATGTTACATGCTCCAAAATGTGGTTGAGTCGTAGGCTCTCGGGGAACGATGTTATAATCGTCACTTAATGTTTCGCAATAATTCTTTTTTCTTAACCTTAAATTCTTCGCTCTCCTCCGTCAACCTCCCACAATCGATTGAGCTATGTGCTAAGGACCACCAAGCATAGTATCCGGAGATAAAAGTCTCAACGTCGCGTAGTCCATACACACGTCTATAAATTTTTCATTTGTAATCGAGATTTGTGTGTCGGTTTTATGGTGTCTCTCTTTTAACTCAAGCTATCCTTTTTGGCTTTTAAATCCTATAAGGTACAAATCATTCGCCCTCAATGCTATTTCAAGTACCAAATTTTTATATTGTAGTTTTACATAATATAGAGATGATCCTTTTCTTTTTCACTAACCATGAGTATATCTGGAATGGGGGGTGATGTAGCAAAACTTTGAGGCTTTATAAAATTTATAAACACGTTGGCATCTTTTACCTCAGAAAAGTTTAACCCTCTCCTCTCAGGTTTTCGAGCCATCGTATTTAAGGCAACCAACCAATTCAAGCAGCTATGCACTACTCCATATATGGGTGAAAGGAACAACCAAGCTAAGAAAACTGGTCGGTGTGTAAATAAGAGAGTCCGGAAAACATATTCATAACCTATAATTTGCACAAAAATGTTAAGTTAAATAAGCCTAGTAAAATGTACTCTATCCCTCTCAATAAACTCTCTCTTTTGTTAATTTTGTTTTCCAAAAAACACTTCATTTTCACTAAAAATCTAACTATCACATCTCAATTATATTCATCACATTAAGGGTAGAATAGGAAAATCAACCATAAATATACATTCCTTAGTTTGACTAAAAGTAAAAAAAAGAACAGTTTTTTTGAAACAGAGGAAGTATCTTTTTGTTATATATACACTTACACATTTAAGTTTTAGATTATGCATGATAGGTTAATGAAGATGAGTAAAATGTATACTATATTTTTTTTAGTTTCCTTCTAATTATAACTTGCACGATTAACTTTTTATTCACAAATTATTGAAAATAATACATTAAATTGTGATATGAAGTTAAAATGTATAGAGTACGCTGTTTAATAATATAATTGATGAACTTTTAAAAATGGATTTTGTAATTGAAGATCGTTAGAGAAATTCAATATTGACTTGAGATAAGATTTTCATATTTATTTGAATGTAATTAATATATATCGTGGTTCTTTTCTCCATGTTAACAACATATACTCCCCCCGTCCCTAAAAAATGAGATGTTTTAATTTTTTTAGAGATCTAAGGGGAGGTATATTTTGGTGTTGAATTTTCAAAAATATCCTTAGATGTGATGGATAAAAGTAAAATTTGATGGGCAGATTAATATTGAAGAGATGTGATGTAATATAGAAGTTACGAATTAGTAGTGATAAAAAGTGATTTTTTAATAAAAATGAGAAGAGTTTTTTGGGACAGATGAAAAAAGAAAGGAGAAAGGTTTTCATAAATAGAGGGAGTATGGTATATGTACGGAATTTAGATTTAGACTTTACATGATCTTCACTAAAATGTACACTTTAATCCTTAAGATCTCAATTAACATGTAGATATATATTATAAAAAATAATATTCCAAAATTAATTTATTAGTATTAAATTTATATTTATAGTTAAATACTAAAACCTTGGTCGGAAAATGTCAAATGAAAGTAAACTTTTGAACTATAAATATAAAAATTTATTTATATAGTATACATTAACGTTTCAAACTACTGGCTTTTAACCTTTTGGTTTTTATTAAAATATCCTTTTCTATAAGTCCAAATTTATGTACTTTCCTTGTACATTTTGTTCAACTTATTAAATTCTTTTGCCAAAAAAAGAAAAAAAGAAAACAATTAAGTGAGCCTATCTACGTATTTACTGTTGTAATATACTAATAACGTATTAAAACTTTTGATCTGATGGAGATTAAATAGTATAATAATCATGTGGTAATTAATAAGCTAAGAGATAAAGATGTTATGTTAATGATTTGTGTTCAACAACCTTAGCTTACCCAAATTTAATTTCAGGAATGAATTTAAATGAATTATAATTCCAAGAGCGAGCAAGAGAGATCTGAAAGAAGTTGATGTGAGAGAGCCAATCAATAAGCTACGACTTAAGCTAAGTTAATTTAGAGTTTAGGATACATTTTATAGGGCACCTTTCTGTTCAACAATTTAGTTTATAGAAATCGGCCTAAATGGGACTAAAACATAGATAAAAGTACCAAAATAGGACTTTCATGTTTTTTTCCCGAAATAGGACTTTGCACTGTGGTAATGTGACTTTGCCTTGTGGTAATGTGACAGTGTACATGTGCAAATTACTATACGTTTTTGGTAATGTATATGACCATGTATGGTAATGTAAGTCCTGTTTCGGGAATAAAAACATGGAAGTCCTATTTTGGTATATTTTCAATGTTTTAGTCCTACTTTGGTCTTTTTCCCTTTAGTTTAAGTCTTAGCTGATTGATTGGCTCTCTCAGCTCATAATTCACGTCAACTTCTTTTA